GTTGAAACGGTTTTGACAACTGCTAATGCTGAAAAAAAGATGGAAAAAATTAGAAGTGTTAGAAAGTCATGAAATATTCGAGATCCTGGAAATAATAAATAGTCATGGTGGAGAGCAACTTCTCTCCCTTTTTTTTTTTTCTTCTTTTTTTTTTTTTTTTAATATGGAGACATAAAGGAGAACAAAGAAGTATTTATTCCTTGATTCCTCATCTAGGAAGCATAACTGGCTCGTGCCTTCCCTGTTTCCTGCACAGCCAGGGCTGCCAGATCATTTACTGCTCTGCAAGGAGCAATCCCCATCTGAGGAGGAACAGGGGACTCGGGCAAGGACTGTGAGATTTGCGGTACAAGACCTGGCTGCAGGAAAACACTATTTTCTAGCTTCGATATTAATATTAGGTGAAGACCAGAGTTAGGTGGAGAATGCTCTTCACCGTTACGAGCTTCCATGCTATGCCAGAGGAGTTTCCCAAGTGGGATAATTGCACTGGTGTGACTTGAAATGCTTTGGTTAGGAATTTCTGGAGCTGCCTTTTGATATTACTGCTGATTTCCGTTGCTGATGATTTCTCCACGCAGCTTCTGCTTTGCAGAGATACCGAAATCAGCAATCACAGAATGCTATGGGGTTGGAAGGGACCTCTGGAGATCACCCAGTCCAACCCCCTGCCAAAGCAGGTCCACCCAGAGCAGGTCCCACAGGAACGCGTCCAGGTGGTGTCTGAATGTCTCCAGAGAAGGAGACTCCCCCACCTCCCTGGGCAGCCTCTGCCAGGGCTCTGCCACCCTCACAGGAAAGAAGTTCCTCCTCATGTTTAGATGGAACTTCTTATGTTCAAGTTGTAGCAGTTTCTGATATGGTTTCCCAGTTTCTGCTGGGTTTCCACAAGACATCAGGACACACTGGCTCCGCCGTGGCTCCCAGTCCTCCCTCTGAAAGGCTTTAAACTGAACGTTCAGATTTAAATAAAAATAATTTTAGAAAGTAGCTGACACGTGAGCCTTGCAGAGGAGAGGCTTTTTTCTTCTCTTACATGAGCGGGTGCTGATTTTTAGAATTGAATCATAGAATCACAGAATTGTCTAGGTTGGAAGGGACTTCTCAGATCATTGAGTCGAACCATCAACCCAACGCTGCCAAAACCACCACTAAGCCACATCCCTCAGCACCACGTCTGCCTGGCTTTTAAATATCTCCAGGGATGGCAATTCCACCACTTCCCTGGGCAGCCTGTTCCAAGTCTCGATCACCTTTTCAGTGTAGAAATTTTTCCTAATATCCAATCTACACCTCCCCTGGTGCAGCTTGAGGCTGTTTCCCTCTTGTCCTGTTGACTTGGAAGAAGAGAAACAGAACACCTTAAAGTCTTAAAACAACTGAGTTCAGCCCAGAATGTTTACAAATCCTTAAGGAGCCGTGAGCTAGAGCTCCCCATCAGCTCCTTCTGTACCCCTATAGGCAACAAACACAAAACTTTCAACACAACACCCAAGCCCAGCACACACCTTGAGGCATCCTTGGCTGTAGCCTTCACCCTCCTGCTGATTCCACAGCTCCATCATGGAATGTGGCTCTTGGCTCCCCCAGCTCCAAGGCAGAGGATTTCCAGCAGCCGGGTCATCCGAAATCCCAGCGAAGAGGTGAGAGGGCAGGCTCAGTGGGTACCAGTGTTGCCATGGAAATCATCCACTGGCTCTTCAAGCCTTCCCCTGGTGATGAAGCAGGTGGATGCTGGTGAAGATGAAGCCCATCTCCTCCTCTCCTTCACCTTCAGCTGGTGGCAGGTCGAGCACCGGGACCGTGCACCCTTCGAGGTAAGGACCATTTCTCTGCTCACTCCTCCAGCAAGCCAAGAAAGCGCTTTTCAGGGCTGTAGAACAACCACTACCTTTCCTGTTTCTTCTTATTCTTGGCACAAAGGATTTTGAACGGTTTCCAACTGAGGTTAAAAGCATTTAAGAGTCTGTTTGCAGAGTGTTGTTTTTTTTAACCCGACCTCTCGTTCTAACACACACTTCCCCCCAGCACACACAAAAATATCCACACGGCTTTTTTAGGAACTGTCCTCGTATTCCTGATAAAAAGCTCTGGAGTGAGGCACCTTTTTTCCCCCCTTTGCATTTTACCTGCTCCTTGGTTTTCAAACTTCATCTTCGCATTTGAACAGTTAAATCACAAGTCTCCCATCTCGGGTGGGGGGAAAAAATATGAACTAGAAAGAGCACAGTTAAATCACATCACCTCGTTTCCTAGGCAGAGGACCAAAATACTGCTTGCAAAATACCAGTGGTTTTTTGGATAGTTTTTTTTTCTTTACGCTACAAAAATACAATTAGGCTCTCAATTAAATTTTACTAATTTCACTCGTGGGAGTTTGTTAGCACAAGACAGCCGGAGAGGCTCCCAAGGGCTCTCACTAAAATGCTCTGCACTAAGCCTCGCCGCTTCTGCAGCTACAAAAAAAAAGGGGGAAAAAAGGATTATTTCCAAGTAGCAGAACCCAAATTCTGCAGACACATCCACCACAAACTTCCCCGTGTGCTTAGTCCCAGGGTACAAACCGGATTAACTGGCTCGACTGGAGGGCTCTCTGTGCCCAAGCCTGTGCTGGCAGAAGCGGGTGCTCAAGCGGTGGCTCGTGGACCGAGGAGCAAGGACGGAGCGAACTGCTTCCAGCACAGGACTCTCTGCTGCTCCTGGGTAACTGGCATCTCCCAAAAAAGAGAGCTTTCAGATTTAATTAAATTTTACTATTTTATTTGTGAAAAAACTACAAGCAGAATTCATAAATAGACATTTCTATTTAAAGCAGGAAAATGATAAAGTGGCTTCTAATAACAGTCGTGCACATGCCAGTAACAGGAATATATTAACATCTTTTATTTGCTAGACAAAGAGCAGTGTCCAATATAAATTTCCCGAAAACATTTAAGACCTGTGAATTTCTGACCAGTTCACAAAACCACCATTGACACTTTAGCATGAAGATTAAAACAAACCTAACAGGACTGTCAGCTCTAAAGACTTTACAGAGCGGAAAAACTTTCAAAAGCGTTATACAAGCTGTCTTTCTGGGCAAATGAAAAATATAGCTCGTATAATACATTAACATAAAAATCCACAAGATAAGATTATGTTTTGACATACTTAAACAAGCATTCTATATTTGTCTCCAACAAACAAAGCTAAGGAAATAATGTAACCATCTTTACACAGTAAATTAAGGTTACAAGTCATACACAAGAACAGAACTGCTTGCGCATTAAAAACTGTTCAGCTCCATTGTCATACTCTAAATGTTGGCTCTTAAAACCATTCGGTTACATACAAGCAAAGGTTATTATATAGTCAGCAATTAATAAATTTTCAATAATTTAAGTTTATGGTAGAGCTTAAAAAAGTAGACTGAGAATGATCTTGGTAAGGCAGGTGAAAACATCTCAGTGGAAATAAACTCACAGAAGCCGCTGCCAAATTTTTCGATCTGTCCGATTTGAAACAAGCAAAGTGTTCCAATTCAAATAAATAGCCTGGTGGTGTAAAAAACGCTGTCATTTTTCCTTTGCAGAACTAACAAACTGAGCGAGAGTCAGGCAAGCTGTGTTGGTGTCTGTGTGTGTGTGTGTGTGTGTGTGTGTGTCTGTGTAAGAGTCCAAACTTTGCAAACGTTAACACTGTGCTTTACTTACCTGCTTTCTGTGCCACTGAACACCACGAATCTGGTCCTTCCCCTACACTAGTGTTTTGGTTGGGTTGGTTTTTTGTTTTTTTTTTTTTGTCTTAAACACGCTCCCCCACCGACAGCCCACGGACACAGCAGGGAGGGAATTCCCTCCCAAACACACACACACAGTGTGGACGCGTGCCGCGGGGATGCTAACTTCAGAAATTAAGTGTAAAAAAAAAAGCAAAACGCAATCCTTTCAAAAATCCACAATGCAAGAGCTACGGATGAGGCCGGGGAGGCTCGATGCTTCGCTAGCAATTTCTACTGAATGCAGAATTACAGGTCACTTTGTTCCAAAGAAATTCTCCCACTTATTTATAAGCAAGCTACTTTATTGAGGAGGCACGCCCAAAGAGACGGATGTTACCGACTTTACCAGTAGCCATGAGTAGCTGGTTACGGCGTTAAAGCTTTTTTCAACTGATCTACAGGTCCATTTTCACTCGAAAAAGAAGCGATTTCCTGGTACACACAATGCTTTTTTTCCTTTTTTTTTTTTAATGCACAAATTCCCAGATTCAGCGAAGAAGGTGAGCGGGTGGTTTTTGACTTGAAGCACCAGAATTAGCCCCGATCCAAGGCGGGGGGACTCGCCGCCCGCTCACGCTCCTGGCTGGATCCTGGCCGAGCTGCACGCAAGCCTAATCGATAATGGATCATTTATAAAGCAGTGCAAAATATACAAGTTCAGGGGCATCTTCAAAAAATCTCTCTTAAAAAATTATTCCAATACATTTCAGTAAAATAAATAAATATGGCTGACCAGTTTACCCTCCCTGAGACCCTTAAAGGAATAGTAAAAACTGGAAAAGGAATGTCTTTGCAATATCCCACTAATGTTAAAATGTGGATTGAGAAATTCATAGTATTTAAAACTATGTATAATAAATTGTCTTGATGCTCGTAGGAAGCATCTGGTTTCCTTTGGTTCTTTTAATAAATACTTTAAAAATGCTTAAAAAGGTAAAGACAGCCTAGACTGTGAATATAAGCAGAATTAAGTCAGGGTGCCCACGTTAACATATTGGGAATAAAACCACTGCTGCAAAGGCACTGCCGCTCACAGCTCCGAGCAGGGCTGGTAACAGATCCCTTACTCACACCTCTCTGTCACCAGTGTGAAAGGAACCTACGGCTGCTACTCAAAACCACACAGATTTTTAAAAGAAATCTTAAAATCAAGTTGCCTCCACAAAGAGAAATTACTCTTGCTAAGCAAATAATTCAACGGTACAGAGAAATTACTCTTGCTAAGCAAATAATTCACAATACAAGCTGGCACAAAGTTGGCAAAATGTGGCCCTCTTTCGTCACGCCCAGAAGTTATGCATTTGATGTCAAATGAAGCCACAGCCTCTGCGCCCAAAATTACTGCAAAGCACCCTGGGGCCACGAAATAAAGATGAAAAGCCAAAGAGGTTTGGGGTTTTTTGTTCTTTTTCAAAAAAAAGGGTTTGTTTCACCTCTTCAGCCTAGTGTTTTTTAGCAGGATAATGCACGGAAGGTAAACTGTAAAGCAACACTAACAGGCCAGGAAAAGAAATGACAGTCTGAATAGCTTTAGAGCAAGAATGAAGGAGATGCTGGTCAGGAGCACGAGCCACGCGTGCCGCTCGCTCGCTCACCAGCACGAAAGCTTTTCCCTGCTTGTGCTCCCACAGCAGGAGACCCAGAAGCATCCAAAGGCTGACAAAAGCTCAACGTCACCCCTGGATGAGATGCTGCTCCCGGAATACGGATGGACTTTGAGGAGAAGAGCCACCCCAAGAGCACGGAGGGGACAGGGGGAAGGGGGCCGAGGACTCGCACGTTGCCGGCTGGGACGAGCACCAGTTCGCTCCCTCGACCCGCCAGGGCTCCCTGCTGCCCTCCAACCCAAAGCAAACCCCTCCAGTTCTAAAAGTTACCTCGACCACCCATGCAGGAGGACAAAATTCATTAAATAGAAGACCAAACAAACGCCTGTGGGATTGGCTATGCATGACACAGCGACGGTCAGGTTGCCAAAATACAGGAATCCGTGGCACTGCTGATACCCGTCTGGTCGTGAACACCCACCCTCCAGCCGGGCAGGAACCTGCTGTCAATCTGAGTCACCCTTGTGGAAACACAAGCTACCTGGAGCAATCTCTTCTCATTTCAGATCCCAAGCTATAAAAAAATCAAAACCGTGTGTCCAGTACGTTTTTAGCCATTGCTTAGGGGAAGGAACGGGGAAGGAACAACAGAGAGAACGGGTCCCATCCAGGTTCAAACCTTCAGGAACACTTTTCACCTAAGACCAGTTTCATTTCAGTTTCAGTACTTTCACAGAAGGGGACTGTCCCAGATCTTGAACTGTTCAATTATTATTTTTTTTTTTTAAATCACTTCACAGTGTTTCAAGCACCAGCGTTTCCATGTATTGGTTTCAAATAACCCTTTATATATATTTATTTATATATATATTTATATATAATTTATATCAAAACTGATAGTACACAGTATAACTGGAAGAAGAACTGAACTTAAAAAGGATATGTTGAAAGAGGATGGAGTTTGTGAATGCAATAAATAAAGCCCCCTTCCCTCCCCACCCGCTCCCTACCCCAAAACAAAAAGTTGTAATGTTCATGGAAAATTGTGCACAGCAGATATTATAAAAAAGTAGATTCAGGAGCACATCCAATTATAAATGATTGTTAGGAAAATCATATAAAACAATGGAATACATAAAAGTGTCAAGAGTAATCGTTAGGGTGAGAAATTCCTTGGTGGCCAGATGCCCACGGCAAGCAGAAATTATCCTGGTTGCATCAGTAAGAGGTCGATGTCCGAGAAAAAAAGTGTGTGTTCAAGCACAGAAGAGGCTCGCTCTCCAGGATCGGAACAGCATGGGCAGGTGGAGTGTTTGAATTTCATACCCTGATTCATAGTTTCCACAACTCCATGTGCAATTTTCAGAAAGATTCGTCGTTGACTGCCGACATGTCCCCCTTTGGCGTGGAGGAACGGGACGAGCCCTTGTCTGTGCTCTCAGAGCCCGAGCTGCTCTGATTCTGTTGTTCTGATCCTGCACTGGAGGTGACTGTAGAAGACGACGTGGAAGAGGAGCGAGTCTTTTCCTTAAAGTCTGTGATAATTACTGTGACATTTCCCACTGTGACTGCCAGCTGCTGCGCGGTACTTCTGTCCACATTTTTCAGTCTGGGTCTAAAACAAATGAGAAAACATTTATAAAACGGATAAAAATACACACACAAGGAAAAGCTTATTAGAAAAAGCATTCAACAAACTCAGTGCCAATTGTCCTCTGCTCACCTGTGCAGATGGTAATACCTGGGAGGAGAACCCACAGAATGGTTTGGGTTGGAAGGGACCTTAAAGACCATCCAGTTCCAACCCCCTGCCCTGGGCAGGGACACCTCCACCAGACCAAGTTGCTCCAAGCCCCATCCAGCCTGGCCTTGAACCCCTCCAGGGATGGGGCAGCCACAGCTTCTCTGGGCAACCTGTTCCAGTGTCTCACCACCCTCACAGCAAAGAATTTCTTCGCGAGATCTCATCTAAATCTCCCTTCTTTCAGTTTAAAACCATTACCCCTTGTCCTATCGCTCCACTCCCTGTTAAAGAGTCTCTCCTGTAGTCCCTTTAGGTACTGCAAGGCTGCTATAAAGCCCAGGCAGCAGTAAGTGCTGCTCAGCAGAGGATGAAGCTTTGACCTTCTGCTCCCTGCGACAGCCCTGGCTGCGAGGAGGGACCTGTCCTGCAGAGCCCTGCAAAGGGTGCTCTGCTGCACAGTTATCCCTAATCCAGCTCTGCCAGAAAGGAGGACACGACAGCAGAGCCAAGGGGACAGGAGCCAGACAGACTGAAGGATCTCCTCCCCAAGGGGCAGATGAAAGAGTTCTCTTATCTAAATTCACCATCTCATCATGTGCCCTGATGTTATGAGACAAGGCTGTGACTCTGCAATACAAAACCACATGAAAGCATTTGACCACAGCTCTTTCATTCCCATATTGGAACTCTGCAGCTGCAAACAACACAGGCACCGGGACAACTTGGCTTCTCTTCCAACTGCTTTGAGCTTATACAAATCAGATGCCCCATCAGCCTATGTATAAAATCACTCAAAATGTTCCCTCTGGAACCGAGGCTATTGTAAATAAAATCCAGAACGTACAACAGTATTTTTTTCAGCTAGTGCTTTTGGCTGGGGAAAAGGGAGAGGGAAAAAAAAAAGGGGGGGGGGGAAAGAAAAATCAAAACCACCAGAAAAGAACACGCTGGTATTTATAGCTCAGGATTATCTCAGTAATTTACATGCTGTGCTATCATTCAATTAGTAATGTAGCTAATAAGGGTCTAGACTCTAAGAAGCTGACATTCACACACATTTCAGGGGCCGGTCCAAAGCTGTGATACAACAGATCTTGGACACTCCTCCAGCTACCAGCAAATTCCAAGTCAGCTGCACCGACTGCTGCAATTTACAGCTTTTGCTCCTAATTAAGGGTCAGGCTTAAGCAGCTGAATATTCCCAATAGGGAAATTAAAAAGGAGAGTCTTTATACATGAGTGAGAAGTAGCTTGCTGAGAATTGCCTTATTCCAAGGGATAGAGGGAAGGTTAGTTTACTTTGGGATCAAGCTCCAGCTTTTAAACCAATGTGCCTTTCCTCCTCATCTGCTGCACACTAGGCTAGTGCGGGTAAAACAAAAAAAAAGGGGGAAATTAAGCCAACTTTATATTTGCCATGCGTGCCCAATGGCTTGCAGTGGTAAATTAACAAAGGGAAAGCCCTTAAGTAGTAGTTTTCCAAGCAGTATTTTAGAACTAGACAGACTAGAAAAAAAAGTATTAGGTACAGCTTCAAAAATAGAACAAATGTATTTCCGCAAACTTCCTTACCAAAACTGAACGCACTGCACCAAAAATAGTATTTTTCGTATCTAACCCAGGAGGTTGTTTCAATTTTTAACAAGTAACGCAGGAAAAGCATTTCTAATAGAGAGAAATTACAATTCTAACACCGCTGGGCTGGGATAACTGTCAGTAAAACCTCCTACTTGAAAAGAGCCCCTTCATTCGGTGCCCGGCCTTTTGGAAGCCGTAGCTGAGGCGAGTGAATCCCCGCAGCCCCGAGACGCACACCCACGCGCCTGCAGGAGGTACCACAGGCCAGATTCAAGGATGTCACCTTGTTTGTGGGTAAGAAGAAAGGGCAGCTAACTCAGAGAGTTTTGGGGTTTCCGTTGGCTTTCAGATAAGGTCTCAGCAGATGAAGGCTGCCCACGAGGCAAACACGGCAGCAAGAGTTCCCGGAAGCGTAGTACGTGTACGTATTTTCCTCCCTAAGCCCCGAGTTCCTCTAGGAAACCCAGTTCTTCCTGTAATTTGCCTGGGTCATTTGTTTTCTCTTGTACTCGCCATTTCTTGTACCAATCCCGTTCGAGCTGATGGAATTAATAACACTGATATAATGAAAAATATCTTTTGCACTCCAAAACCATTGCCTGCATAATGTCACACATAAAAGAGTTTACTTAGCAGCCCTTTAGCTCTATTTTCCTATTCTTCGCAGAAGTCTTCATTCACAATGGATTGGTTCTATTTAAATGGTGATATTTGCTGTGTATCATGTTACTGCGGCGCTATTCCCTGTAGATGAATGAAAGCCGAGCATGAACTAACAAGAAAAATACTCTGAAGATGAAAATTTGAAACAACCAAAAAAAAAAAAAAAAAAATGCTGGTCCAGATACTGGAACAGACCTTACAGCCTCCACCTTTCTACAGGGTTGAACATGCACTCTCGATATTGCTTGTCAAAGACCAGCCCTGACAGTCAGAATTAGAAAAACAAAAAAAAAGGAAAGAAAAATTAAAAAAGGAAAGAAAAAATAATAAAAAAATAAAGAAAAAAAGGTGTTCTTCCCAGGAAACTCCTGCTAAGGGCAGCCTTTGAGATACTCCACGCACCAAGCACCTGAATGAAACTGCTCGTACATCTTTAAATGCCATGATAAAGTAATATGGAAGGACTAGGGGGAAGCAGGGCTCAGGTGCAGGATTTCTCCACAGTCCCACTCATTCTCAATGCCAGTTTTTAGAACTGTGCCCCAAAACCATTTCTGCAGGTTTTAGGGGTCTCCCCTGTGCAAAGAGCTGATTGAGCACAGATGGAAACCCCCAGACAATCACTTCAGCACGCACATACAATTTTTGCTCCCTATAGAAAGCAAAGGGATCAGCTCATTCACCTTATTTTGCAAAATTAAACACTCTGATACATCATGTTTATAGCTATAAACGTTTGTGGCCAAATAAGAAACGCGTTTCAAAACAATCAACCTGAAATCCCACAGCAAAGAATGGAATAAACCGAGATATTCGGTCAGAAACAGGCATGGTATCCAAGAAGCTCAAACAGAATTTCTTAAAAATCCAGAGATCCTTAAAAGACAATTTACAAAAAACAGTTACGAAACCTGGGCCTGAAAAACCCTGAACAGATAACTTGTGACTCTCAAAAAATCAGAGCCTATAATAGACTCTTGACAGCACTCCTGAGTGCAGTGAATTGGAAAAAAAGTTCCACTAAACACAACAATTAAAAAGACAGATTAAGAGCTGAAGGAGATGATGTATCCCTTAAAAATAACCAGCTAGACCCGATATTATTAAGGATTAATTAGGAATGACAAAAGCTTGCCACAAAACATGGACTAAAAGACTCTGCAGTAGACAGAGTGACTCCTTTGAGGAGTAAAAACAATTGTTTGATGTAATCTATCAATTTAATATTATGTCATTAGTCAAGTGCATTGAGTCTCCTGCATCCTAAGTCTCAAAATCAGTACCATTTTTAAAAGGACAGGACAAAAAAAAAATATCATTGCAATAAAGCTCTATTCCTTTAATCAAATCAGAAATGGACAATTTGATCTTTGGGGGGCTGAGGAAGCGTTAACAGCAGTCCCTGCAAACAGCTCGGTCTCTCGCACAGCAAATCCCACACTGCCCCCACTACATTCAAGTGAGTTACTGGGTGCAGGATATTCACCCTTAGTAAACATCTTCATGCTATTATTTAAAAACTTTCAAGACAACAGTTTTCTGCAGAGTCACGTCTTGCCAACCTTAACACCAACAGCAGTGTGAACTGTATTTCCCTTGTGCTTTACAACTGTTTGCAGGTAACTAATATTGTTCCAGTTCATCTGGCTTCACTATAACATACTTACTACAGCACATTTTAAAAAGAGATGCAATTCCTCTACAGCCCACATAGGCAAAGCACCCAGTTGAATTCTGCCTCTAGTAGCTAAGTTCAGTAATATAAAAACCTGTTCTTTGATGCTGAATTTTTCATTTAAGAAATAAAGCACAAGACACCACTTAAAAGAAAACCAGCGTGGAGTACCAGTATAGGCAGGACCAGGAATAAACCTCTCTCCATAGCGAGCTACTCGTTTGAAACTTAGACAAATATGAAACCAACCATTCATGGTTTTTGTTGATAGCAAGAGTCTAGCAAATCTGTTCATGCAGTCTTACATCCTGTAAACTTGGAAAATTATCTTGACAATTACAGTGACTGAATTACAGATAAGAAAGTAAAAAAGTAACCTTTGTTAGTGCTATTGAGTGATGATAAGAATTTGATAAAGACCACTAGGATTGCTGGTTAATGTTTTTCCCTCCCTGTGTTTTAAAGGCAAAAGCATTACTGCCCACTTGACGACTATTTTAGCAGAGAAATGAAAAATGAGTGGACAACAGACCAAGTATTTCCAATGTCTGAATCTGTCCTCATCAGCAGAGTGTCTTGAGTGCTTGGACACGGAGAAGGCTCCTGCCCACTGCTGATCTGGCCACACTAATGCTGGCAGCCCTGTGGGTCACACAGTACCCTCTGTCCATCAAAAGAACAATGTCTGCCATTTAACACAGAGTTCTCAGATACCGAGAGCTTAACTTTAGTATAAAGTTACCTTGAAGTGTGATTTGAGTCGCTGGTCTTTGTTGTAGTATTCCCAGACTGTATACTGTTCGCTTCGCTGGGAGGGTCTTTCACAATATCTGACTTTGGTCTGTAAGAATTGGAGGGAAGAGAGAAAGAGTATAATTTTAGATTAACCACACAATTAATCAATGCACAGCGCTACCGAAATCACTCCACGTTTAATAGCGCATCCTTCAAACTTACTTAGTCTTCTTGTTAGTGTTCTTCTTTGTAACACTTGGACTAATTTCCTTCTCTTTGTCAGGTTTTTCTTTGTCTTGTTTTTCCACTTTCTCCTTCTTCTCCTTCTTAGGCGGTGGTGGGGTTGCATATTGCTGGGCAACTTGCTGTGCCACCAACTGAGAGTTTATTCTAGGTTTTCTATAATCACAATAAAAAGAGAGATCTATAGTCAATATTACACAGTAAAAATGACTTTTCCAAAAGCAGTATAAAGATTTATTTCAGCAACCGGGGAAGAATACTCTGTTTATAAAGAAACCAAATAGATGTCCTTATTTAATGTGAAATACTACTGCTGCTACCAAACAAGATAGAAATTTTAAAATTAAGAAATACTCCAAACTGCTATATCATCAGTTTTTAGCCTCATCTAACATTCTTAAGTATAATGCTCCCTTTCTTCCATCCATATCATGAGATCACAGCCAGTTTTGGGGGGACAATAGTGAAAAAGCAGCTTTTAAGCAGCCAAGTCTCACTGTGGCTACACTTTAAGAGAAGGAACATAGTGATAAGAGTAAGTTTCCTGATAAACATCGGTCTCCCTCGTATCTTTCAATTTAATTTTTCAAATAAGCTTCTGGTTCCCTGAAGCAGCAAACCTCACACAAATAACAAAGAACAAGAGAAGGTAACTGAGATGACTTTGTCCCGGGGCTGGGACCAAAGCTCCCTGGCAGGAGCCCAGAAGACAAGTGGGCATTCAGGCTTCCCTGGGGAAGGGCCGTGCCAGGCTCCGACACACCGTCTTCACACAATGCTCTCCAGTCCTCCATGGTGCTCAGACAAAATACACAAGAAAACTGTCTTTCAGAGACTAATTTCATTTCAAATTATGATTTATACAGGAAAAAAAAAAAGCTTCATATGTAACCCATACCTTGGTTACTGATGCGCAGATAACCTCAAAGCAATTTGTACCTTCCTCATCCAAACTCTCATCTCCTCTCAGCTTAACAACTGGAAACCTCTCCCTCCTGCTCTGCCGTATCAAAAAGCAGTTTATGCTCTGAACACTCTGACTATTCGTGATCGATTCCAGCTCTTCAACATGCCAGAAAGATCTATGCTCCCCATGTCCACACAGCTTGGGGGGGGAGGAGGGGAGAAGACAACCAGGTTATCAACTCCATTAGTGTTCCATTATGAGCCGAATACTAATTGCAACAGTTGCTCATGCTTGTCTTTAGCCCTTATATTGGTCATAAATACGATTCAGATTTTCTGCCTAGACTGGACTAGAACAGATTGTCAATGTTAGTAGTACACAGGTATTATTAAGTCTACAACTGGAACACAGGAACCCAAGGGCTTCTGCTGCAGAGCTCTGTACCTGCACCCAGATTTTACTACAAACATCGAGAGACTTTCTGAAGAAGCTACTTAGTGGTTTCATGTGTTTTAAAAAAATAAACATACAAAACACTGATTACTCACATATAACCTCTGCTCTCTGTTTGAGATGATACATACAGATAATGGAACACCCAGAGAAGTTCTACTCCCTGTCAGAGGAAAATCCAAGTATCTAAGTATCTCTTGGCACTGGTTTTCTGCTTAATAGTACCAAGATGCTCTTACTGAAGACAGATATACCCAAATATTTCATTTCACTACCACAGCTTATTATAAAGACTATACAACAGGTTGTAATCACACCCCTGACCCATCTCAACACCACAGGCATTTTGATTTTTCACCCAACACAGAAACTGTAACTCACGTGATGCCACGATCTGCATCACTTCTGGGTGAACAAAGATGATCTGATCTTCAGCTATCACAACTATGATGCTGAAAGGTTTTGCAGATCAGATCAAGCAGTTAGCTGTTCCACAGAACGGTGAAGGTATTTAGCATCCTCACATTTAAAACCCCATATACAGCGATTTCTGTCTGTGTGACTGAAAATAAACACGTAAGAAAAAGTGTTCTGGTTACACAGAAAAGATTTTTCACAGTGATGCAACCGCACTAAAAGCTGACAACATTAGCCTGTGTCAAGCAACCTGCTAACCGCCTACTCAAAGAAAAAAAAAAAAGGGAAAAAAAAAAAAAAAAAAAGGGAAAAAAAAAAAAAAAAAAAGGGAAAAAAAAAAAAAAAAAAAGGGAAAAAAAAAAAAAAAAAAAGGGAAAAAAGAAAAGAGATAAAGTGTCATGAAATCTTCAAAGAGAGGGCAGATATCATCTCCCTACAGGATTATACATGATTAACCTCACTGCTTGAAGCTGCCACTTCTGCCCAGACTTACAGTTATTTGCTGTTTACACAAGCAGCTAAGTCAGAAACCCCAGCCATTCACGGGAAATCCCAATTCAAGAATCCAAGAGCACCTTTATGGTTTTTCTGCTGTGCACAACTGAGGTGTCTGCTGGTGCTGTTATTTCTGAGCCTTATGTCCAACCTCCACAGCTACTGAGCTGCTGTTCCTGTTGCAGGAGTGCTGCACTGCTTTACTGAAGATACAAATTTTAAAATGGAAACTTCAACTAAAATAAAATTAAAAAAAACCCAAACAAACCCACATATAAGCCACATTGCATTTCCCTAGGGAAGGCTGGAATCCCAAAAAGACCAGCCTTAAAAGTGTGCCTGCGGAGACACTTCACTCTGTGCTCTCAAACTCCTTACTTGTGCCTATGATGGCACACTTCATTTTATCATTTTTTGGCTGGGCACTGACATAACCAGCACAACTTCTCCAAACCCATATTAGCATATTCCTTCTGACAGGCTACAAAGTCTTGCTGGTGAGGGCAAACCCCAAACTGAAAGTGAAGAGAGGGACCAGCTGGTGGGGGTTCTCCTGCCGCCCCACGGGAGGGAACATAAGCTGCCGAGACTTTGGCCAACACCAAGCACATTTCAAGATCTGCTGTACTACTAAAACATATTTATTATAACTAATGCAAATAACCCAACAGCCTTCCAATTCCTAATTTGGCTGTTTCGCTCACAATAGCAGCAAGCTTAAGAAGGTTAAAAAACAGGTAAGTAAAGCAACTGGCATATTAAAATTAATAATAATAATAGGAGTAATAAAACCTTTCAAATACTGCCCACACTGTCACTACAGCCAGGATACACTGGTTACAAGCCCTTTACAGAAAAGCCAAGCAAAGCAAGTAGAGCAGCGCATTTTTAACCACAGCAAACTATAACCATAGTAACCACAATCGAGTAAAGCAGCTGCAATATCCAAAACTTGCTCCAAGTTTCCCTGCCTACCAAAAAAAACACACTTCAAGGGCTGCCACTGCTCTAGTCCATCACCCCTCGCACAGACCATCTCTCCGGACACCGCTCCTGCCTCCCCAGCCACACATGCCACATCCCCATCACGTTTGCCAAAGCAGCCACCCTCCACATGAGTGCTGAGATTTCTTCTCCAGCTGTGGCAGCAGGTAAGCTTGCACTGCCTTCTAGAAATAGGGAAAAAAGTAAATTCAATAATACTTTGCAGTGGATACTAATCATCTTCCCTTTCATAATCCGAACAAGGAAGAAAAAAAAAAAATCTACCAGTGGAGAGAAAGAAGCCTCATTCCCACTTGGGCTACAATGATTTTTTATGTGCTCTGGCTTCTACTGCAGAATTCAGAGTCATTACAACAGTAAGATCCCTTTTTTTCTTTTTCCATTTTTGAACACTACAATGTGTCTCAGATTCCCTTGCCCCTAATTTTATCCCAGCTGGCCTTTTTTTTTTTGTCTCCAATCAGAATGCAAAAATACACCCAAATACACCACTATTGTATTAAACTATCACTTGAACAGAAAGCTGAAAGCACTTCTGAATTTTTTGTAAGAATAAACAGACACAGACGCAAGCATTAGTCATTTTTTACCCCTCATCAGCTTACTTTCTGTAACATTAAACCGTTCATACAAAGAACACATCCAAGTGACAAAAATCAAGCCTCTCCCAAGCTTTCTAACCAGCACTTGCACTAAAAGAAAAACTATATTGTCATTTTCTACAAGGTTTGAAGTATCAACATTACACACAATCACAAAAAAATTATTTAAAGCGATGCAATACTTAGTATTACGTTTGGTTCCTGAATTCCTAAGTAGACATCCCGCTGCTTCTCACAGGCCACCAGCTCTTCCTGACGAGAGGAAGAAGATGTATGTTTTTAATCTCTATTCCCTGATCTGTGCTCGGTCCCCTCTGACCATCAGCAGTGCCAAATGTCTGCTACAGGAGACTCTGCTTGATTCCCTCCACCCTTGTCCCAACAGACTGAAATGTGCTATTACACCTTGGTGGCCACCATCACTTACTCAGCACCCAGCATCAGGTGAGTGCTTTCAAAAACAGAGAAGCCAGTACAGAGCAATTAACACATACCTGCAGATAATGCCAACAATAAACTTTCTAAGAATGATTTTTCAGTACAACCATCTGAAATACATGTTTCCTTCTATCTAACCATTAAGATAAGTTATGCTTTGCTTGGACAATTTTCCCCTAATTTAAGTGACAGCTTGAGTAAAGACTCAACCATGAAGATCCAACATTTATGTTACAAAAAACCCAAACATTATCCTTTTTCTTTTTTCAATGAGGATTGTCTTCTCCCTCTAAAAATCAGAGCAATTAAACTAAATCAAACTGTGCTTTCTAAGTTATGATTGGTCAAATAAATTGTTTCACATTAAATAAACTTTAGTTTGAGTTACAGGAGCAGATATTTGCGCCACAATTCCGGATCTTTGCAGCAAGGACATACAGACACATTAACCAGCTGAAATTTGTTTGTCTATTCCGAGTGTTTACCACCCAGTCTTTACTATCCACTATTGTAAAAGTGCCCATTTGTGTGTCATTTAATAACAACATGCACAGAAACCTTGTGACTCCAAATATTACACCCCAAGATTGTCACGTTAAGTGACACCGAGATGTTTGGTTCATGGGAAGTGGAATAAAAGCAAGACCTTTCACGAAGGACTCACTGCTTATGTTACTGTGCTCTTGAAAACGTAAAAAATATGTACTTTAAAGGTTCTGACAAGTATCCTGCAGTGCTTCACCACCTGCATTTTCTTCTGTATCTCAAAGCTTCCCATTAAATCCTGTCTCAGGACCAAATCCAAAGCACCGATGCCCACGAATCCCACTGCTCCGCTC